GAATCAAATGAACACTTTCAAGGCCTCTGACCCTAATGGATTCTAGGGTATTTTCTTTAAACAATTTTGGCATATAGTTAGAGACGTCGTTGCCCAGCTTATATCAAATGCTTTTATGACAAAAAGCTTTCACTCCTCTCTTTCTGAGACTCTTATCACATTAATTCCCAAGGTAGTCAGCCCCAAAATTTTAAGGAATTCATGCCCATTAGCTTGTGTAACATTGTTTACAAGCTTATTACGATGATTATGGTTAGCAGGTTGTGTCCTTATCTAAATAAGATAGTTGGACCATTCCATAGTAGTTTTTTTCCTGATAAAGGGACAACTGATAATGCAATTATCATCCAAAAAGCAATTCATTCTACATAAATCTAAAAACATTTGATATGATATTCAAAATAGGTCTTGAAAAGGCCTATGATCATGTTAATTGGGATTTCTTTGAATTTTGTTTGAACCTAAACGAGTTTCCTCCAAATTTTGAAAAGGCCTATGATTATCTTGAAAAGGCCTATGTCTATTCTTTGGAATGGAAGACGACTACCAAATTTTGTTTTAATTAGAGGATTACGGCAAGGTGACCCCTTTTCACCCTATCTTTTTGTTATTTTCATGGAATTCTTGTTGCAGACAATCATCAGGGAAGTCGATGAAGGCCGTTGGAAACCTATGAGGTTATCTCGTAATGGATCCCTCTATCGCGTTTATTTTGTGCCGATGATGTTCTTATTTTTGCGAATATTTCTAACTCCCAAGCAAAGATCTTTATGATATCTTGAATTATTTTTCCATGTTTTCTGGCATTAATGTGAGTGTTGTTAAATCAAAGGTGTTCATCTCCACTACCACTAAGAGGAGTAAAATGAATTCAATTGTCTCTAGCACATGTATCAAGCAAAATCTTACTCTAGATAAGTACTTGGGTTTCCCTATGTTGCATGGTCATCTTTAAAGCAAGGACCTTAAGTTTCTAGAGGAGAAATTAGTTAGAGGTTATCATCTTAGCAACATAAATTATTAAACAAAGTTGGTCGTTTGACTTTAGTTAGGTCTTTCCTGAAATCCATTTCAAATTATTACATGCGAGTGGCTTGGCTACCTCAGCCAACTTGTGATTTTATTGATAAAATGACTAGGAATATTTTATGAAAAGGTAATTCAAACTCTGGTGTGCATCTCGTTGGCTGGAATAAAATCATTAAAACAAAAAAGTTGGTCTGTCTTGGGATTCGAAAAACAAGAGAGGGCAATACCTCTATGTCGGGAAAGCTGATTTGGGATCTCCATCTAGATTGTGATTTCTTATGGGTCAATGTTTTGAAGCATAAGTACATCAATGATGAAATGTTCCTTAATATGAAAAAGAAATTGGGATCAGTTACTTGGAACGCAATTATGAAAGCTCTCTCAGCTCTTAAAGATGGATTTAAATTTAGATTGGGGGATGGAAACTCCTCTTTCTCGTTTTCCATTTGGTCTGGAGTAGGGAAATTAGCGGAGCATGTTTTCTATGTGGATATTCACAATTTGGAAATGCAAGTGAATGATATTTACTTGGATGAAAATTGGAACTTCAATTCAATATATACTAATATTCATGTGTTTGTTTGTGACCACCTAAAAGTGCTTCCCATTTGTTTTAATTTTCTAGTTCTTGATTAGTTAACTTGCAAAGGAAGCAAAGACAATATCTATATTTCTCGGGATGGTTATAACTTGCTAAATAGACTTGAATTTTTTCTGGATACAACAGATAATAACTCTTGGAAATGGGTGTGGCATATTCTTGCGCCTGAGAATGTGAGATTGTTTCTTTGGAAGACTTTACATAAGTACCTTCCTACGAGATTAATGTCGTGTCATCATAGTATGTTCTAAACGAATCTCTATCCTAGATGCATTTAGGACGCTGAGACGACTCTATACTACTAGAGAGACTGTGAATTCACGACAAAAAACACATTTGACCTCAGACACGAAGTTGATATAATCTCGGTTACAGAGGTGAGGTAATAGAGAGCATCAAAACTCTCCACTATATCCCTGAGTTTTAGAATAATCGATGAGATAGTTGAAATGATCATTGGTTTGATCCCTTGGAATAACTTTTTTATATTTTCAAAACTAGTGCCACATACCTCTCGTGTTATGACCAAAACCAATGGGAAAGATAAATTCTTTTTTATAATACTTATTACATTGTTTACACATAATATTACTAAATTAATTTGTTTACAAACTACATTGTTTACACAGAATATTAAAATAAAAATATATAACAAATTTTGAATCTGATTCATCGTTATCATTGTCGGTGAAGAAGAAATGTTGGATCTTGTGGAATAACAAATGTTGGATCCCCGTTCCATTGAATCTTGGGAAAGATCAAATGTTGGATATTTCATGCATTTGTTTCTGATATAAAACAAAAAAGGATTAGGTAAGTAAAATAAATATTCATTTATATGATTATTTAAGAGAACAAACATTGAACCCAAATAATTTTCTGCTCTTGCAATCCATCATAAAGAACTTTTCTAAACTTCTTTAAGTTTAAAAGTTTTCATGTCAAATATTTTATTATCAATTTTTAATATTTAAAATATTTTTATAGTGTCTTCTAGGTTTCACGTGGATCACTAATGACAGTGTCTTGAGCGTTGATACTCATTAAAGGACAACAAAGAAACTCAATAAACACGCTTATATTCCCCTTGATTATTACTCAAAACCGAGGTAAAATGTGTTTGTTTTTAATTAAAAAGTACAATAAAATATGTTTCATCTCAAGCGTCATATACTTCTCGATTTTTATTAAAAACTGAGGGGAGTAAGTTTTTTTTAACTACATTATTTCCACAAAATATTAAAATACATTATTTAAATAAATTTTGATTTTGACAATGGATTCTTGGAGAACAACAAATATTTTCAAGTTATTCTTGGAGAACAACAAATCTTTGCTGTTATCCAGATTTTGTTGTACACCCTTTGTGCGCATTCTTTTCAAGTTCAATGAATTGCATGCATCCAATTTCTGATAAGTTATCTGTTCTAACCATGCATTTTTTTTTCTGCACTTGCAATCCATCATAGAGATCTATCTAAAGATTTCATTATCTTAAGCAAATGTTTTCATAGAAAATGTTTTTACAAGAAAGAGAACAAGATATATAGTGGTGGATGTATAGAATTTCTTGTGGATTGATGTGTTGGAAATATCATGTGTGTTGTTAAAATAAGGACTTTTCCCTCGATTTTATAAAAAATAGAGGTAATATATTACTTGCAAAAAAAATGGGGAATTATAAAAAAAAAAATTAAAGTAGCATGTCTTGTTTCCATTTTAATTTTTTACAATTCACAATTTTTTTGGTATTGCAATTTACAACATGTTTAGGAATAAGTTTTTCAATGTTGTCAACCGAGAAAAAAATAAATTATGGAGTATTTTCTTTAATTGACAATATATGAAAGTTATTCCAAAAAAACAACAACATCAACACCATTATATAAGATAAATTGCAATGACAGAAAAAATATTTTGTTCAAAATAGAAGAACATTGAGGATTTTTTTCTTTCTTGTAATTCATTTCAAAGAATGATGCGAACAAGTTTGGAGCAATTATATATAAGTTAGATTTAGGGTAAAATCTGATTAACGAGTGCTTTTATAGTAAAATATGATTATCTAATTCATTGGTTATTAAAGAAAATCGAATGAATATATCAATAATTTAAAAAAAAAGACGCCATTTTTAAAGAAATAAAAACATAAACCACATTTGCTTGAATTCAAAGCATGTCCTGAACTACTTTTCTCCTCAATTATATTTAGAAATAGAGGGAATATGTGATATATTAAAAAAAAAACAAGGCGTGCATTGACATTATACCTCAGTTTTTTGTTGGTGATGTGAAAGTTTTGTCATGAAATGTATTATTTGTAGTAGTGATTTACTACTTGTTTTTTTGAAATCTATTGGATTCTTGGACCCACTATTCTTCCTAGGAGATAATTTATATGATTGGATTATACATGACATATACAATGATTTTATCTTTTTGACTGCTTGGTGGTGGTTGTGGCGCGTTAGGAACAAACTGTGTCTTATGAATGAAGTGGTATATGCCTATACTTTGAAACTCATCACAATGGATTATGCTAATTTGTCAACTAAATGTTTTCTCAAGCATAATATGTCTCATCCAACGTGAACGATCATGTGGAATGCACACAAATGTAGTAATATGGTTTTGATTGTTAATGACAGTAGCTTCGGTAATTTCAGAGTTTCGGATTTTGGTGGATTGATCTGAAATGATGACGACGCTTGTGTTCACGATTTTGCAGGTAATATTGGTTATTCCAACATCATTCTTGTTGAGTTGATGACACAATATCATGGTTTATGTATGGTCTGAGAACTTGACATTAAAGACGTGTTGCGTTGTTCTTACTCCAATTTTATTATAAAGTTTATTTCAGAGTTTGTTAATGTTTGACATCACTATGCCGCAATTCTTTATAATATTAAAGAACTTCTCTATAAGAAGGGGAATATTCGTGCCAACTACCTAACAAAATATAAAACTGATCACGATGCGGCGTACGAATCTTTTGCGAACCTTTTGAAATCGTCAGTCTCCTACTAACTGATGCTAGTAGAACTTAATTTTTTAAATAATTTTCTTCTTTATTTTTTTTTCTATTCCCACTTTACCAAATTATTTTGTAAAAAAAAAAAAAAAGCTATAATAGATTGGATTTTACTTATTTATTCTTAGAAAGAGGTTATTTCATTAAAAACTTATATTGGTAAGATGGGAAAACAGAAAATTAAGTTTGAGAAAATATTAAGTAGCCGCAATATTATTTCCCATCCACCATTTTCCCCTCGTGCTTTTATTCATTCTCTGCGTCTGCGGTCCCATTTCTTATTTTGGTTTTGTGTGAGATTCTCTTCTCTTCCCATTCGTCACTCTCACTTTCACCATGGCTTCCTCTACTTCCCTTTCTCTCACCTTACCTATATTTTCTTCTTCTTCTTCTCCCTCTTCACGCCTTAATCCTCTTCCCTCCTTTTCCTTCCATTCCCGAATTACCCACATACCCCTTCAACTTCACATTCAAAACCCTCTTCTTTTCCCCAAGATTCGCTCTCTCCTTCAACAAACCAGAGGTATTTCTTTACTTACACCTATCCTTTATTCTTTTACCCCAATTTTGTAGTAATTTTAATAAACAAGGAATTCGGAAGTTACGGTGATCAATTTAATAAGAACTGCGAAAGTTGATATATTTTTCTTTATTATTTTCCGATTAATTTGGGGTTTCATGTTTCGGACCAAAAATAGATATACACGATATTTGGATTAGCTTAGGCTTTATTTGAATTAGCTGTTGTGTTTAGATCCAATCTTTTTGGTGATGTATATCGAAGTTAACCTAGATTAGGCTTGTGGCGTTCTATTCTATGAAAATGTGTGCTACAAATTAAATATTGGAAATACTAGGCACTGAACTAAATGTTTAATAGCATTAGGTGCATTTTTTCTGTATGAGGTTAGTGGTATGTTTTATTGTAAGAACTCATGGTTTCTTTTCCTTGTCTCCTTTTTTTTACTTCCTGAAAAGTGTTTGAAGAAGTGAATATGCGAATATTCATATTCATCAAATTTGCTGTCATAAAAGCTTTAATCATTAGAGTTGAGGTTTAGTTAGGCAAAACTTGATTGCTGTGAATTGCTAGTAGAGTAGACGAATGAGAGGACAGTAGATAACCGATCATGTTGATGTATTCATGTAAGTTGTAACTATAGAGTAGGAGCATCATAAACCTAAAGATCAGTTTGATCTTTTTATCACTTGCTTAGTTTCATTTTCAGAAAATTTGCAAGGCCTTATTTATTCTTAGTTTGAGTTGCTAGCTATATTGCAAAGGTTTCTTTTTTATCATTATTCGGTGTCCTTATTTAAAACTTCGAGTCTAATTTGATATTTTTGAATTGTCATATTTGGATTTCTGTGCTTGGATCACAGACATAGTTTGTGTTTTTCAATGAATAACAGTTTTTTCGTTCTACGTTGTTAGCTAAATTTCTTACTTCAAGCAAGAATTTATGTGAGAATATTTCTCTCTGTGCAAAGCTTTTGCCTTTTTCTTTGGTATTTCTTACTTGTAGCCAGTTCTCTGGTTTTAATTTTGTGAATTTTGCAATGTCAATGAGTATTGAACTTTAAATCATTGAATGATGGTCTTTTAATTTATGTGAGTTTGTTGCCTGGCAGCTACACCAGTTAACAAAGACTTGTGGGATAAATCGATTTTGAAAAGTGAAACCCCAGTCCTTGTTGAGTTCTATGCAAACTGGTGTGGCCCGTGCAGGATGGTACACCGAGTTATCGATGAGGTTGCAACAGAGTATGCTGGAAGACTCGAGTGCTTTGTACTCAACACAGACGCTGATATGCAAATTGCTGAAGAGTATGAAATTAAGGCTGTACCAGTGGTTTTATTGTTTAAAAATGGCAAGAAATTTGACGCCGTAGTTGGTACCATGCCAAAGGAGTTTTATGTGTCTGCGATTGAGAGGATGCTCAATTGACGGATAAACTTTTGCTGTTACAGGTCATGTTGAATTTTGGTTAAAACTTCCGGTTATCTTGTCCGGCTGCTCAACATTACTGAGTTCTTCGTGTAAATACTTGGTTTATTTTTTCTCGCAATAGCTAGGTGCGACCCCGAGAGTCTGCTTTCTATGTAGTAACGAGTGTTCCACCTTCTATCCCGGATCTTCTTTGAAAAGTATTGTTTAGGTCCATGATGAATTTGTTTGTTTGTTTGGTACCTGATTTGAACGGCATCTGTTGTTCTGCAAGTACAATATGATTTGATTAGCATGTGCTTATTTCCCCTTTACTCAATCATCATTCCCTTGTTTTGTGACTCTTGCTTGTCTATTGATCGAGCATGTGTTTTAGACTAATACAATCACATGAATTCTTATTCTCATGTTCAATTGAGAAACTATTATGAATAAGGATTTAGACATAGCAGAAAAAAAAAAGAACAATGTAGCATGATGTGATTATTAGTTTTGATTACAAAAGAAGCAAATGACATACCTACCTTTTTAATTTTTATAATCAAAATAGTATTAGGAAATTAGTGGTTAGTATATTAGTTTTCAGGGTTTATAAACATATTTCCTAAAACTCGTGTGTTCTTTAGTACGGAAACTAATGTAACCAACCTTAATTACCCTGTCAAGCTTACCAGGGTGGACATTCTATCACAACCTAATAATTAGAGAATCCAAAATAGTAGATAGCAACCACTTGCGAAATTAACTCATAACGTCCTGCTATAACGGTTATTAATTAACTAATAAATGGAACTTTATTGCTGACAGCTATGACCAAGAATATCAAATAAATGGAACTTTAGCATGTAGCTTTTAGCTTTAAAATACCCTTTCCATTGTAAAAAAAAAGTTTATTTTTCAGATTTTATTGATTAAATACGTCAATTATTTATTAAATAAAACTTTCTTATTATAGAATGAGAGTAGAATGCTCTTTTGTTACAAATTATTTAGTGAGCAACAAAAGAGAGGAAGTTATGATAAGAGTATCTTAAATCTCGAGTGGAATGCCATATATATACGAGGGACGTTTAGAGATGTCTTATGCTTCTCGATGTCGAATACATGGAAGCATTAGATAATGTCCAACATTGAATAAACGTTTGTGGGTGTATTGTACCTTCAAAATCTTCTAACTTTGGACTGAAGTTTGGCCTCCTCGATGTTGGACTTCTTGTCGTTTCGAAACAGTTACTCCCAAGGCTTACCATACGCAACAATGAAAAAATTTTCACAATGTCGGGTCGGCTTGTCCTAGGCCATGTCCCTACGACATATTTTTTTTTTGTGACAAAACTTATCTCAGCTCAGCCTTAGTCTTTAACATTGCCCAAATTTTGGATGGTGCTTCACGTTGACCCCAGGAATAAGGTGTGTAGCTCCTCCGACAAATGTTTAGTGTATCGCTATGATTGTATATTCTTCAAACTAAGATTCAAACTGCCCTTTAATGATTTTGAGGTCGAAGTATTTAATCATTTTAAAACCACCTCGTCCCAAATGCACTCGTTAGTTTTGGCCTTTGTTAAAGTGTTCTAATATTAGTATGAATATCAATGAGTTGTGTTGACTTTTAAATTATTCTTAATTCTCTTCAATATAACACATACTTATGCTCGAGAGGAGAAGGACAAGGGTTTCTCTTACTCCTTCGGCTGACGAAGGTGTTTGATGTTTATCTTAAAAGTTGATTTTTTTTTTTAAGAATCATGACTTCTTGGCCACTCTCCAAAATTGAGAAGTCCATTATACATTGTACATTCTTCTTGAAGACAACCTTTCCCCTCTGAGCCTCCTTATTTAGAGCTAGTGAAATGTGAAAAAATTATTCAACTGACTCTGAAATTGAAAATTGGAAGAAGAGTTGTTGAAAGAAGGTTTCTCATCTTCTAAAAAATCTTAGGCTAGGAGAATGGAGTCGACCTTCATATGTACGGCCTATCCATTACATTTTATCATTTTTAAAATTATATATATATGAGTGAGATTATATATCATTATATATCATTTAAAATAAATGAATCTGAATCTGACTATGAGAATGATAATTTTATGTAAAAATATAAAAATGAATCTGAATGATTACATTTAAAATAAATGAGTGAGATTATATATCATTTTTATTTTGAAACAATTTTCGCTCTCTTCTATTATTAAAATAAATGACTTAAATTAAAACATTATATTTTTAACTATCAAAATTATTTTTTCTCTCACTCATTTATTTTAATCTAATGACTTAAATTAATTCTCATATTCCCATTAAAAATATCATTCTTATAGTATGCGTCTTATAAATTTAATCGATATATTATAATAGTGTAAAATAGTTTTGCATCATTGTCTAATAAAAAACCTTTATGTCACCGTGTACATTATTTTCCCTATTTATTTTTATATAGAACGAGTATAGTTTCATTTCTTTCAATTACATTGTACAAATTCAATACATCATTAATTATAAAATTGCCAATAATACCTTTAATTATTTTTTATGAAAAATAAAATACAATAATAAATAATTATTAATATTATAAAAGTATATATAATAATTTAAAAATAATAAATTTAATAATTGTCTTAATTTATATATAGATAATCTAAAAATAACCTATAATGTGAACAATGTATAGCTATTTTCAAGATGACTACCAAATACATAATTTTTTATTGAATATTAGCATAAAACTATTCACAAACCCAAAAAAAGACAAAAAGAAAAAAAACATAAAACTATTCAAAATTTCTTTTAAGATAAAACTATCAATATAACTTAAAATAAAGAAAAAATAAATTATTTGATTCTATCTCCAAATAATAAGTTTTAAAAGGCATAAAATCAAAATCCAAATTAATAAAACTGAAATTGAATTGATTTGATTCGGTTTGAAATCATTTTTCGCATGAAATCTCGAAAATAATAAAACCATTAACATAGTTTTTATATGGAATTAATCAAAACATTTTTGATAGCATTAAAAGGGTAAATAAATTTGCGTGAGAAGAAGAATATACATATAGCAGAAATAGAAGGTTCGAAAAGACAGAACGGCGCCGAAATGGAAGTTTCATTCATAGTACCAATGAAAGGGCAGCAGTATTCTACTCAATGAGTCAGTATATCTTTCTCTCTCACTCTCTCTCCCCTTTTTACCCATTCCCAACCAAACCAAACCCCTAACCTCGATTTCCGTTCCGTTCCTCTCTCTCCGATGGAATCTCGTAAATTGGCTGCGTTACTTTCCTCTCTAATTTCTCAACTCCTCCTCATCATTCTCCTCATTTTCCCTCCCACTTCCCTCCACCTCAATTCCACTACCAATTCCAATTCCAATTCCACAACTTTCTCTCTCATCCATCACTTTCTCTTCTCCCAACAAACCGCCGTCACCACCACCCTCCTCTCCCGCAAACGCAAACGCCCTAAACACCACCACCACCACCACCACCACCACCCCACCCCTAACCCTGATTGGTTCCCCAACTCCTTCCTTATGTCCTCCTCCACATTCGAATGGCTTACCGGTTTACTAGAACCTCTCCTCGAATGCCGTGACCCTGCTTATCTCTTCCCTCTCAACCTCTCCGCCGGGGTCCGTCTCGGTATCGGTCTCTTCCGTCTCGCCAACGGCTCCGATTACTCTCAAATTTCATCTCAATTCAACGTCCCAGTCTCCGTCGCCAAATTCTGCGTTAAACAACTCTGTAGAGTCCTCTGTACAAATTTCCGATTCTGGCTTTCTTTCCCAAACGCAAACGACCTCCGTTCCATCTCCCAGAGTTTTGAATCTCTCTCCGGTTTGCCTAATTGCTCCGGCGTCATTTTCTGCTCTCGCTTCGAAATCGCTCCTTCATCATCAGTATCACTATCCCAACAACGACAGCAACAGCAACCTTCCTCAATCGCAGCTCAAATAGTGGTTGATTCCACGTGTCGAATTCTTAGCATTGCCGCTGGTTTTTTCGGCCACAAGACGAACTCTGTGATTCTTAAAGCTTCCAGTTTGTTCAATGACATAGACGATGGAATGCTTTTGAATGCTTCTCCGGTGAACGGTGTTAATCAGTATTTCATTGGTGATTCTGGGTATCCTCTACTTCCTTGGCTCATGGTACCTTTTGGTGATAGTGTAGCTGTTTCTGGTTCTGTTGAAGAGAGTTTCAATGCTGCTCATGAACTGATGCGGATTCCGGCTTTACGAACGGATGCTAGTTTGAGGAAATGGGGTGTTCTGAGTCGGCCGATCCGCGAGGAGATTAAGATGGCTGTAGCTTATATCGGTGCATGTTCGATTCTTCATAACAGTTTGTTGATGAGGGAGGATTTTTCTGCTTTGGTTTGTGATTTTGAACATCAGAGAAAAAATGGAGAACCTTTTGTATTGGAAGATGGCCGTGTAACGGAGGAGGCTTTGGCGATGAGGATGACATTGGCTACCATGGCAAAGAAAATTAGTAGTTAGTTCAGTTCAGATTCTTAATTGGTGGGGGAAAGGTATACTGATTCATGATGCTTCAAGATGTATGCAATTTTTCAGCTTCCACTCTTAGTTAATTAGTGTGGATGCGGTATTGTAAATACTGCCTCTTGAGCATTTCATAGTTATATTCTTTTTGATGATTACAAGTCTTTTGATAATGTTATAGATTTAATTTCATTGATGTTTTTATGGTGCCCGAGTAACTAAATATTCTTACCATGGTTTTAAATTGTGGGTGCGATTCATTGTTGCTGCAGCGGTGATTTTTGATTGAGAAGAGTTTGAAATACGCTTCTAAAACATTTCAGAAGTAAAATGAGTTTTGGGTTTTTAATTTTGAGTTTTGACGAAGTTGTGTGATATGGTTCCTAATACGGTTCCTAATAAGACACGTGATTTCAAATCACACAAATTGCAGTCTAATTCGGTTGCGGAGACTACCGCATCAGCAATATTACAGTTGCAATCGCAACGGCAATT